AAAAAAAAAATCACAGAAACCATTTGAAAAAAGTTTCATTCGAAAACTTCAAACCATGAAGATTCTATGAAAATTCAAAGAAACTATTGCAATAAAACGGCAATTTCATACTTTAACCCCTAATATTAAAAGATGACAGTACGGGGTACTCCTTTTCTCTTAGGATATCAAAACAACAACTACGGGCTATTTATTGTGATTTCCAAGTGAATGATTTACATACAATGAACATTTTTTTGTTGAATCAATACTGACATTTTTGTGTACGGTACTATATAAGTATTGTCCATGAAAGGGTTCAGTAAAATAGACTCACGCTAGGCCAAAATCTCACTTGATGTTAACGACGAACTTGTAGACCATATTACTCGCTTGTCTAGTAAATGCCAATTCATACCAACCTTGCATCCATAAATAGCCCTAGGCTGTAGCTAGAAACAGGAGGTCTACCACGAAATACGAAGCAACGATCATCTTTTTAGCTTTGTATTGGTCACGAGGCTACCACGAAACGCGTATGCGGAGACCGTTATTTGACATCGAGTATATAACCAATGGGGCCACTATTGAGGTACCCCCTTTCCAACGACGTATCATCGAAATTGGTTCACGATAGTCGGAGTAATTATGTAACATACACGTAATAAAAATTCAGTCGAATTGAGAACCTCCACTTTCTTGAAGTCTGTTAAAAATAGTTTCATTTCTGATGTATTGCAGTCGATTAGGGTAATTTTTTATGTACCCTTTTACCAGCTTTGATAATATTATTCTTTGCAAATAAGTCATTAAGTAATTCAGTGTACATACTACAATAGTAATTAATGCACGTGTCGCTACGTAGTGTTCTTCAGAAACATCTAGTATGTAACCAGAGATAGAGACGATATGTCATTTAATTTGTTTGAAAACTATTCTGCCAAATCGTTACAGTGACAACTGCGCTCAGATTGGCCAGTCCGAATTCGAAACAATTGACGGGTGTCGTCAATTGCTTCACTTCAAATCCACCAGTTTAACTTTAAAAATTACTTATTTAATATTTAATTACCGATGAAATGTGATTCTATTTGTTTTGTAATTAGATGTTTTGCTGTTTTTCCCACACCACCGAATGTAACAGCATGCCATTGTTAGAGATATTATCTTTATTACAATAAATACAGAATATTTTTGGAATATACGGAGACGTACACCCAGGTCAGTTTTTAGTGCTGTACTATTTCATTCATGGTAGCCTAGAGACATAAAATTAAAAAATAACATGCGCCTGTACTTTCACCAGCATATTACTGCTTTGCGGCCGAGATAAGTAAAGTGGCGGTGATTGTCCGGACTTAGCCTTAAAATTGCATACCTCTAGCAATAGTGATCAGTCTCCTCTCCTCAGCTCGCTCTTCTTGTGCTGTACTTAGCTTTACGCCGAGTGCACCGGAAACCAACCGTCTAGCCAGGGCAGTGCAGGTTTCTGGCCGTTGTCTGAAAACCGCGCGACATTGGACAATAAGTGGAAAAATAACGTATTAAGTTCGATGGAGATCGGTGCGCATCGATAATAATACCAATAATAATAAAGTGATGTAATTCGTAAAAGGCGCTTTTTGGGATGTTACGTTATATAAGTTTTATTTCGTGTGTTGTTTTGTTTTTATTTTTTTATGTATTTATTTATGATAGGTACTCTAATTGCATAATACATTACAATATATAAATAAGTTAAGGCTGGTCAAGAACGTAATTTTGATACACAAAGCAATTCTGCCGTCGTAAGTTGAAAGGTCACACACACAAAATAATGTTTAAAGAAATGAAATTTAAAAAAATATACCTTTTTTCTGATCAAAGCAGGTATAGGCACACAATCATGGCTTATACTGTGGCAGGCGTCGCCGTTCGAGATAAAAATAAACACATTTGTTGTAATTTTATAATTTATTCAACATAATCGATATGAGATGATAAAAAAATAACCTCAAACGGTGTATAGAAACTACTGCTCAGGCAGTATTTTGTTCTGTAGTCCATTTGTTTAGGTACTTAATTAAATGTAAACAATCTTGATATATCTTTTTATTGAAACATATGCTTTACAAATCAATAGGTATAAAAATAGACATGAAAATTCATGTGAAGCCAAGTATTTGTATTTTGTATTTGAAGTTAAGTAAAAACTCATTTTATAAATGTATATTCCATTAAATAGACATCTCAAAATTGTCTACGTTTCGTTAAGTACCTAAACTAGACTATAATTCGCCTAATTTTTTAAGTATTTCTTGGATTTCTAGTTCGGTTCTAACATCCAAATTCCCTATAAATAAATATATTACCATTAAATAAAATTACTATCTGATAAAAAGACCAGCAAACATTTACAAATATAATGGCAAAGATGTAAATTATTACGTTGCAGAGTGGTGCATTGGCTACATACAGTACTAAACACTCCATAGATACAAAATGTGTAAAAACAAATTGCCAATTACGTTACGTAAAAATACGAGACTACCTACTAAAACGTAAAAGTATATTACGCAAAAATACGAGACTACCTAATAACCATTTTTGCGCAAAAACTTCTGTATTTTCAAGGTTAATTTTAAATTAAATTGAATAGAAATTTACGATGCTTTTGTTTTTTTTATAATGCCTAGATTTGTAGACTTGTCGATGGGCATAACAGAGAGAGGATTTTGTCTTTTGTAACATTCCTCATTTACGTTTTAAAAAATACTTAATTTAAGATCAACATTTATTTTATCATAGGAAATGAAACTATTTTTCCGGATTCAAATCGCGTATATTTGGTTTTTCAAACAACATTTTTACTGGTCCCATTGTCACGGTTGACTGAGGTGGTACAAGTCTTCAACCAGTTATGTCTAATATTGATGCAAACCACCCTATTTTGTCACTATAGTTACAATAGTTATTAATTAAATACCTTATTTTAATTTTACAAAGAAAATTTACGCTACATTAAGTTTTAATAATTATTTTATTGAATGAATTTTTGTTAAGTTCAATTTATTATTAATTAATAATAGAAATTAGAATAAACTAAAACATATTAATTAGTACTGCAGTCGTATGTCTGTTTGGGATTTTTCATCAGAGGAAATACTGGATCCCAAACTAAACAAACATTTTGTCAATTTAAAGCTACATCTTTTTACCGCCGTCGACAGCTGTTTACTTACATCACTTAATCGATTTATTAGTCTCTTTGATTAGATTTTATAATCGAGTTCTTAGGTTTTCGCGATTGTTATACATATTTATCCGAATTTAAATCGCGTATATTCGTTTTTTAATTTGTATTTTAAATCCGGAAAAATAGTTTAATTTCCTAGATTTTATAAATTTTAGCTGCCACTTTGGATGTGAGAACACATTAACTAAAACTGCCCTCAAAATTAACAATATATGTATAGGTAATATAATATAATTTTGAAAAATATTTATATTCAACGAAATGTTATCTCATTTGTAATAAAAATTATTGACACCGAAATTATTAATTATATATTTAATTATCACAAAAAATATGTATTTCATCCTTAAATACCTTCAAAAAACCAATAGTTTTGTTTTACTTTAAAAACAATATTTTCCGCGGTGCTGCACAAAGTGCACCACTGCGCATCGTACTAACCAATGAAATCGGAATTGTCATGGATAGTGTTCCTGGCTAACGAAAAGAAGTAGTTTTTTTGGAAATCTTTAATATTGAAATCTGTCAACCAATGTAGCTTTTGTTCTGTATTATACTATGTCACCCATACGTCTTAGTTTTTCTTGTAACTTTAAATTCTCTATTTATTTGGTATTCACAAGTCTTATTAAGAGCTTCTACCATTGACTTACAGTTATATGGACGTCGGGTCCGCGCTAAAAAGTGTCCGAACTTATAGGGCGTTAAAATCGTATACAGAGCGTCATTCACGGTTTAGTCTTCGTTTGTTCGACTGACAGCAAAATTAGACAGTACTGCGATGACATTACAATTTAAATTCAACGTTTTAGCTTTTTCATATTCCTTTACATGTCACTACGTTTAAATAGGTTGACTTGGGACATTTTTTTCGTGGGTTTTGTATTAGACCCGTCGTCCATTTATTTATAAGTCAATGGCTTCTACTCAAAAACGACTGACACACCACCTTCCGATATAAATACCGGGGCTGTTAGCTAGATTTAAAGAAAGAATCTCAGTTTCATCTTTCGTTATCCAGACTCTAATAGATATAAAGCCAATTCGTCGAAAGAATGGTTCTGAAAGCTCTCTCTAAAAACGAATTCTACAAATGTCGATATGTCACATTAGCTTTTTTTTTGTTGTTGAAGCTTTGTTTGATTTTATTAAACATATTCAATCACAACATTGAACAGTAAGGCAAAGAGAAAAGGAGGGACGAAACCAGCTGTTAAGTAAACGAAAAGCTTGGTTTCTGTTTGTCACATAATTAACACACTATAGGCTCTCAAGTCCTCACCCATTTGTGTTTTATTTCTTGTTATTTTTACAGGGGCGTCGTATCGCTTGGGATCGCTCTTACTGTATAGTGACGATAGCTTGGTTTGTTACCTGTAAGGTTGAAGAAATTCGGCGCATTTTTTGGCCTTATTTCGGGAGTCCAAAGTGGCGGCGTGAAGAGGCCGGCACCGTGCTAGCGATCGCTGCGTTGACAGCACCTCCGCAGCTGCAATTAAAACATAACACGATTAGAAACCAACACAAAAACTAAGTTCTAAGAAAACAATGAATTCGTGTGGTAAAGTATTTCCTTTATAAACTAAGTAAACCCCACCATCAAATGGGAATAAGAATGCTGGGAAAATTACAGGCACATGGGACTTGTCAACTTATGTCTCGACTCAGGTGACGGGCGCAGTGGCAGTGCCCCTCAGAACTTTGAGATTTATAACTCGGAATGACACTGCAACTGTTATGGACAGGAGTGTCGAATACCACCAGGCGCACTTGTACTTCCCGTCACTTGGTCTCATAATAATAAAAAAAAGACAGAGGGTATCGGTACGAAAGTAAACATTTTTGCGAGTACTACATTTTTTTTTGGTCATTCACGGGTAATGCGCTTGCGTATTTTCAGCCCTTACGTTCGGTAAGGTTATCAGTAGGGCTAGCATGACAAGGCGCGACCTGCGCGAGTGCGACATAAAGCCCGAGTGCGACATAAAGCGCGAACTCTCTATGCGAGAGTAGCAGTATCTCGCCCTTTATGTCGCTCTCGCGTTAGTCGCGCCCTATCGTGCTAGCACTACTGGCACCAAATATGTTTTAAATTAAAATACTACGTTACTTCAAAGGAATTGATCCTTATAGTTGACGCTTTCTCATATCATATCTATATATCATAAAAATACAGGACGCTTTTCTTACATTTGATTAGTTCAATTCCCAGATGAGGCAAGAAATTTTTGAAGTCTTTAAATGCAGTATTATTTGCTAAATTAAAAGTATTAACAGATACCTAGTAATAAGGCTGTCTTTTGTATCCGTCTTTTGTCGATTGTTGTTTGTTTTTGTTATGTATTCGTTCTTATGTGCAATAATAGTAGATCGTACAACAAATGCATAAAACGCATCATTTTACCCGAGAAGCGTATAAATAGTTAAGTCGAGGGTAAAATGGGTTTTATAAACGATATACACTCTGCTTTTCATAGCGATAGCGAGGAAATTTAACAGCAATATTGCAAATAATTTTTTTGTACACATGACACTTGGTTCAGGTCGGACTACATAATGCTCAGTTATATTTTAAAAGCTGTTATTTTTTTACGCATTCCTATTTCTTATACGTTATTAATATTACTATTGCCTACTTTTATTAATTTTGCAATATAACAGGGATTAACAAAACATAAAAATAAAACTTTATTTTATAATACTAGAGCGTAAAATCCTATTTTATGCACCCTAAATACGAACTTTAAGAACGTGAGAAGTGAAAAGTATATTTGTATTACAGCGTATTAGATTTACACAATTTATTAGTAACAATTCACTGATCAACACCCAAGAATGGCAAAATAAACAATGACGGCGACCTAAGCAGCCTACTTTCGGTACGTCTACGACAACCGAAGAGGTTAACAAACCTCGTGACGTAACGTTGCGACGAGCAAGTGGCACGATGTCCGGCCGAGAACGCCGCTGCGCCGACCGCAACTGGGTATTTCGTCATCGGCATTAAATGGCCACTGCTAACTGTACTTCGAAACAGAAACCGTTGCACTGTTGCAAATTAGAGCTCCGAATATTCGAGAAATTAAAAAAAAAATACGATTATGACAAAATATTCTTCATGCTTGTACAATATGTCGCACGTTGTAATCATGTAAAATAAGTCTACTTTCGGTAAACGGAGTTTAAAGATATATAGAATAAGATTTAATTTAAAAAAAAACGAGATTTTTGTTTAGCGACGATATCCACTAGAACGTGCGATATAAAAACCGCGACTTCTAATAATATAATAACTCGCACACACTCACAGTTCCGCACTAGGGAAACCCTGTATCAAGGGTGCCATGGACACACACAAATTACACCCAAACTCACGAGAGAAATAAATGTAGGCCATACAAACATTTCTTCTGGACCGGGAATCGAATATGGGACCTCTGCGTGGTAGTCCAGGATGGTAACCGTTCGGCCACTGAGGCAGTTCTCACCGTATCCCTGCTTCATTATCATCATTAACCTAGCAAATGTCCCAGTGCTGGGCGCGGTTCTCCTCTTATGAGATGGTTTAGACTAGGATTGTTGTGATTATCAGCATCAATTTCCACATCTACGAATAATCCGCATAATAAATTAAAATATCCGCATCAGCCTCCTCATTGTCTGATGGCGGTGATGACTGGTGATGCGCAACAAATATTGCGGACATTCGCGTCGTGACATTAATTTGACAGCCGTCCGAAACAATTGCTGTCAAAAACAAAGTGTCGAAAACAAAGTCCCAAAAACAAATTGTCAAAAAACAAATTCGAGTATCAAGCTCCATTCTCAACACGCGTCTGTTAATCTGGACGCATATTATTTATTCAAGTTAGTAATGCAAATGGCATCTACAACCCTCAATCGCAAAGGAACTACTGCAATGTTAATAAAAATGGAAGTTAATAATCTCACTACAGAGTACTAAAAAAAGTACGTGGAATTATGACTATTTGCTAAGTTTCACTGAAATATCCCCTACTTCGCCACTATACAGGACTTGATACTGGAGATAATAAAAATAGGTTCTCACTACGACACTACTCAAAGTATATCGAGGGAAAAACGCCTTGAATTGGAGAAATAGCAAAATTAACTAAATAATTGCTAAAAGCAATTGCTCCTAAATTAAAGTTAGGCGCTATTTATAAAAATGAATCTTCATGCGTGAACAACCACCCTTAGAGGTGGATGATTTCCTTCAAAATAGAATGGGACCACCATGGAAGTACCCCCTTTCCAACAAAAAAAGAATCATGCAAATCGGTTCACAAATACCGGAGTTATCGCGTAACATACATACAAAAAAAAAACAAAAGAACATAAGTACAGTCGAATTGAGAACCTCCTCCTTTTTGAAGTCGGTTATTAATTTGCTACTCTGCGAACCCAGTGAAGGTAAAATCGTGCAAAATGGGCTGAATATTTTTTAAATAAAAATAAAATCCTCACAAACACCACCACCAAATATGTGGTGGTGGTGTTGTTTGTGGGAAAATTAACTGCATGAAAAATATTCAACACAAGCGCAGCTATTTTGCACGACTTAACCTTCACTGGGTTCGCGGAATAGGAAATTAATTAACTTCCATTTTTATTAACATGGACTTCCGCAAAGTAATGTCTGAATGTATCAATTACTATTGCAATGTTTTATAGGTAGGCATTGACTTACAATTATATGGACGTCGGATCCGCGCTAAAAAGTGTCCGCACTTGTAAGGCGCTAAAATCGTATACAGAGCGCCAAACTCCGCTTTAGTCTTCATTTGTTCGACTGACAGCGCGATACTGCGATGACATTACAATTTAAATTTCGAATAGGTTGACTTGGGACATTTTTTTCGTGGTTTTTGTATTAGACCCGTCGTCCATTTATTTGTAAGTCAAATAGGTAGGGTTAAAATCTGAACGGCACACGGTGGGTCCAAATTGATAATTCTTGGACATAGGAATAACTTGTGGAGTGTCAAGCTATTTTTTTTTATATGATACATAATAACATTCCTAACAACTTTTATTCCTATATAATTTTTTGAAAAGTTGATAGTTTCGGAGAAACTAAATATATTTTTTTTGTATGGAGAAATATACATTTAATTTTTTACCTCAAAATATAGGAAAATGTAATGTGCGTGGGTTACTTACAGTATAGTTCCAATAATTTTGTATGTACAAAAAAATAATCCGTCTGCAGTTTATTTTTATTGTTGTACTTGCGGTTTTGTAAGTAAAGGTGCGGCAAAATTGCTATTGCTGTACTTTTTTAACAAACTACATGACCTTCGACTAAAGAAAAATTAATTTTAGTGTAATTTAGACAGTGTTATAACAATAACACGAAAGTTAAGAAGAAACTAGTATATTGTGTTAAAAAATAAATAACAAATCTAAAATTTTGACACCTTTTTTTACTCGTAAGTCGCAAGTATCTACAGATGGATTATTTTTTTCTTGATAGAGAGTGATTGGACCTATATTGTAAATAAACCACACACATATACATTACATTTTCCTACATTTCGAGATAAAAAATAAAATGTTTATTTCTCCAAACAAAAAACTAACAATTTCTTTTCTCTGAAACAATAAGCTTTTCAAGAAATTACATAAGAATAAAAGTTATCAGGAATGTTATTATTTGTCATATGAAAAAAATCAGTACTGAATTCATTGACTTAAATTATATGGACGTCGGGTCCGCGCTAAAAAGTGTCCGAACTTATAGGGCGTTAAAATCGTATACAGAGCGTCATTCACGCTTTAGTCTTCGTTTGTTCGACTGACAGCGAGGCAAGCAAAATTAGACAGTACTGCGATGACATTACAATTTAAATTCAACGTTTTAGCTTTTTCATATTCCTTTACATGTCACTACGTTTAAATAGGTTGACTTGGCACATTTTTTTCGTGGTTTTTGTCTTAGACCCGTCGTCCATTTATTTGTAAGTCAATGAGTGAATTCCTAAAATTATTCCCATGATTAAATAATTGATAATTCTTGGACATAAGAATAACTTGTGGAGTACCGAGCGAATTTTTTTTAGGGTGAAAAAATAGGATGGTTTGCATTAATATTAGACATAACTGGTTGATGACCGTACCACCTCGGTCAACCGTGACTATGCGACCAGTAAAGGGCCCGAAACGTTCGTTTGTTTGAAAAAATAAATATACGCGATTTAAATCCGGAAAACTAGTTTCATTTCCTATGCCATTGTAATGTTTTGGTATTCTGCCCTTCAACGGCGAGTCGATGACACGTCGATGACTTAGTGTTAAGTATTAATATTATAGATATGTAATATGTAGACTACATTGTTGATAAAACGTGATAAAAATTAAGATATGTATAGAAATTTCCATGGCAGTTTTAGTAAGGCGACATAGATCATTGGTGATTAAAAGAATGAATGCCATCACATTCCACTGGCACTATTGAAACTCGATCGT